TGCTTAAAATTGTAAGAAGGCTAGTGAATGGAAAACAATTTAATATTTATTCGTCGGGTTCATCGATTCCTATATAGGAGCTTAATTTATAGGAAAGTATTACATTATAAAGCTTATTAGTAATGCTATGAATGGTTGATTGATGGTTGAATGGTTGATTCATTATTATTTTTTTCATCAGCAATAGTTCATATGAGTATGATATTAAAATAAGATAAAATTGAATACATTTATTGTGGGTTGATGGTTGGCTGTAGTGAATAATTGAAGAGAAGGTGGTTTGGTTGAGATGATTAGTCAAAATAAAATGGTAAAGATAAATAATTGTATTTATTTTCACATTCGCCGACGTTTCGGCCCGATGTTTAGACCTTCATCAGGGCTGCTGTATTAAGAAGCATTGATAGACGATAGATAGACCTATCTACGCTTCTTAGTACAGCAGCCCTGACAAAGGCCGGAACTTCGGTCCGAAACGTTGGCGAATGTGAAAATAAATACAATTACCATTTTATTTTGACTGATCACCCCAACTGTCGTTCTCTTCAATCAGTACATTAATGTATAATCGATGGGGACTGTTTCGTGTCGTCAGAACATTTTAGGGCAGTAAATCAAGGGCTCAAGGGTGATTAGGAGCGGATTGCATGGTGCGAGGAATTTCGCTTGCACCGATTTTAAGAAGTGAGAGAGTAAAATTTCTTGGGAGGGAGTTAAATGCGATCGATCTTAGGAGGGAGGGATACATCTGCAAGGACTGTACACACCACCCTCAAGTCATAAGCAATTTAGGGACGAATTTATTATAGTATTATTATCTTTTATTTAGTAGTATACCTATGGGATGAACGCATAGTCCGTGGTACTGACCCCTTTTTATCAAATTATCAATATAAAAATTTGTAAATAGATTCATGTCATAATAACCTATAACTTGTTTATTTAAGAAAATTCTTTGAATTGGGACGTTTTCAATTTTGAAATTGGAAAAATTTTGTCAGAATCGAGACAAAAGGTGACAAAAAATATTGAGTCATTTGGCCTGACCTCCATTCCCAATATATCAAAATAACAAGATTATATTTGCCAAACGGTCCAATATTTTTGTAGGTTATCTTCTTTTTTTATATATATATATTTTGTGATGAAGCCCTTACCTAAAATATTTATGTGGATGTTAATAATTTGATAAAAAGGGGTCTGTACCGCGGACTAAATGTTTCTATTTTGGAATCCATTTTGGTTAATGTGTTGGATAACCCGCCGTTCCTCCCTGATTGAAGTACAGAAGGTTGGTATCTCAACATTAACAAAAAAAAAGAAAAAAAATCTTCTCATTCCCCTCATGCGTAATAAATTTAATGTGCTTAATTTTAATTTAAGTTCAAATTTATATATTGCTGTTTCATACGATTTCTAATTGAAACCAAATAGTATCGGAAATCGTAGACGTTGAAAAAAATGTGCGTAAAAACTGATAAGTTTATAACTGGCATTAAAATTATTTTTTAATCTATTAAAAAAAATAACACTATTTTAACTTTGTTCAATTTTTTAAGATAATATTCGTAACTATTAAATCTCCACAACGTTGAAATTATTGAATCGAAATGAGTTCCCATCCACCATCTTACACTTACTGTTAAACATTACTTCTAATTATTGTATTGAATTTTTAAGTATTGCAAAAATAAGTATATTATTTTCTGTTGGTAGTGATGGTATGTGGTGGAGTTGGTAAGCTCTGTCGAACCCACCCCTTATCTATTCCCTGCCTACAGCTGAGTAAACACAACTTAGTTTCGATTTCGTTCGCAGATAAAACATGGCGATAAATCGAATATTTCTGCACCTACTGAATATTTCCTCGTGCAGCGCAGTTTAGTATGGAATGAACATCTCATTGTACTTATTTAAGTTCTTAAAAAAAGTTCTGTTAAATGAAAATGAACAGTAATTGGGCTTAGATTAGGGTAATAATTTGTCTTAAATGAATTCTAATGAGTTGTTATTTGATTAGCTAAGAATTAAAATATTTTTTAGTTCAATTTTTATCTTAAACTTTTAAATAACGATTTTTTAAAAATAAAAATTCTGTAAAATCTTTTCTTGAATAGTTCTTTTTTTTTTGGTTTATTTTTTTTATTCACACCTGTCAGAATGGTAATGACAACCAGTGAATGTGAGGTGAATAGTGAATAGTTCTAATTCCAAAAGAAATGAAAAAGTATCAACAATAAAAATTCCATTGATACCGAAAATTTTTAAAAATAGATTTTTTTTTCTGTTCAAGGCCCTGGAAGAGTGAATTTCATAAATGATTTTTCCTAAGAGTTTGGAGGGGGATGTGCAGTTTTTTTTGTTCGTTTTTTAGTATCTCGGCTAGTAGTCGGCCAAAAATTAACAAAAGTCATAAAGTAAAATACAAAATTTGCAGAAGCCACATTTATACTAGTAGATAAAAATAAACAATTAAATACATAAAATACATGTTATTAAAAATAAGTAAAATATTAAATAGGTTGGTCGGACTGCCAATCGCCGTACTATCTCTTGCAGTGCCTGAAAAAGACTTACAAAGTATGTCGAAACGTTTGACAATGTAATAAATATACCATTATATAATATAGTATTTTATATATTGACCGTGCCCTACTAACTTCTTCTGATATTAAATAATTTATTTGCATTATATAAAGTTTGTCTGAGGATCCACAAACATCCTGTCTCTCCAACTTATAAGGAATAAAGACCTCTTGGCTCATCTCTCAGGCTGCGTCCCTGGACACTTGCCAAAACTCAGATTGTCAAATTTATTTCACAATAGGTCATCCATTGCCAATTTAACCTTCGAGGTGGGTTTTTAAAGATATATAAAGTTTTTATTTTTGTTTATTTAATGAAATTTACAATTGTATACAAATACAACTAGTAAATATGCACAAATTATAATTAATGATATAAACATGCTTGAAGAGATACTACCCAGTTGTTAGCACTCCCTAAATAATTCTAGGTAAGAAGATCACGAGGCCATCTCCTTTTCAGACGCCTAGGAGTATTATTAAGAATCGATGAAGAAGCAAGGGGATGGGACTGTAGTTTATCATGAAAGGATAGATATCTGGCTAGGGCTAAATCAGCGACATATTAGCATATAGTAAGGTGTCACCAATTTTACTAATAAACTAAATGAGGTGGTGTCCATTCTCGAATAACTTATCCAATGCTCATGTTTGCTGCAAAGATCACGGAATACTATGAAACAAAATGGTTTTCTATGGTATGGTATACTTTATTCTTTTTTTAGATGTTCAATTGTTCAAAATATTTAATGTAGGATAATTACAGCTATCTGAAAAAGTTCTTCACTCATACAATAAAATGTACTTTTTGTTATAGATAGATAGTTAGATAGATTAGTTAGAGTTCTGGGACAAAGTCTCGTTAGAATAACAACATAGCACAAAATTAAAATATTGCACCTGGCCTAAACAAAAAAAAAAAAAAAAAAAAAAAAAAATATATATATATATATATATATATATATATAAAGAAAGAGAAAAAAGTAAAGAAAACGCATGCTACATATAAAACAAATAAACCTATATACAAAACACCCAAATCTACGGCGCTTAAAACTATGTACAGTGGTAAAACATAAATATACACTTTTAAGAAAAAAATATATAGAAACATGAAAAAATTCATTAAGTTCTTCGTTAAAATAAATTTTGTTTGTACCAAAAAAAAAAAAAAGATATCCGATTCTGAGGGTATAAAATGTCTGGGTATTTAAATGATGAATAATATATAATGAATAATAATATACCTCACAATCATTTCTTTTCGTACCTAAAGGTGCAAATTTAATTTTTAAAAAATGATATTAAAAAACAAACAATAGATGCATTCAATGGCATCAAGACTAGGAAAATGTTGTAATATCCCCAGCAAAGAATATAACTAATATTTGAAGACGAATGACATGAAATAAATATACAATGCCAAAAGGTTAGCAGTAGTGTTGCCCAAATGCGAGACCGAGACGAGTCTTGGTCTTGCAAATTCAGTCTTGGTCTTGCGCAAGAGTCTCGCAACAGTTTTGCAGTTACTTATTAGCTTATTACTATAGAGATATTACTATAATTTTTTCGATAGAAGAAACCTAACTAAGCCCGAATGAAAAGTTAGAGGAGTTAAATGCAAAAATATATTGGTTATACCAATTATTAACATATAGTGACTAAAATTGGCGAGTATTAATAGCTATTTTGCCTTAATTTTTTTTAATTGCATTTTTAGTCTTGATCTTGCAACAGTTAGGCGGCCTTGGTTTTGGTCTTGCAAAGTGCATGTTTTGGACAACACTAGTTAGCAGGTATCCGACTGTTTTTAGGACAGGTATTGGAATTGGAGTGTTTTGAATGTATAAATTGACAGAGCGAGTATTAAAGGAGTTTTGGAATGAGGCAGATCTGTGAGAAGGGATGTATTGGTCATAAGGTCGAGATCTTGTGGAAAGGGAATGGACTGAGGACTTGAATTGGAGAAGGTTTAGTGCGTAAGAAGGACGATGGTTTGATAGAGGAACATACCTATAATATATTGCCTTCGAAAGGAGGGGAAAAACCAACTTAACTCAATGTAGTGGTGAGGGACATGGGAATCTCTCGGGGCCCCAATTACAAATCTTACGCAGCTGTTCATTATTTTTATTAGATAAGTCGTATGATAGGCCGTAGCGTGAAAATCTGCCTTTAGAAATTGTAGATGACGGCAAAAAAATAACTAATTTTCTGAAGATTCATGAAACGTATAAGTTTAAGGATTTGATCTAATACTATACATCCACCTGATCTTCCATAATTTAAGTTCATTTAAGTATTAAATGAAACTGGTTCTTTTACACTGAAATTTTTGGCACGAAAATTGGTTTAGGTACGCTGCAAATCTCAAATAACTGGAGCCAACTGTTGCTACGACCCGCGATGTCGCTGATGCAAAGGCCCCGGTTTAATACGGATATCCTGCCCACTCGACCGCTGCTCAATCCCATCGCCCCGGTGATGGGTTGCCAGGAAACCTACCCACAAATTGTGATCTATCCTCGTCTGTTATTGAAGTTTGAACAGGTTACAGTGTTGGCGTAGATAACATATCTGAAATTGAATGGTAGGTATTGATCACAATATTAAAAATGTAAGCAATTGAAGAACAAATCTTGGCATTATTTCAGTAAAATCTAGCAGAGTACTGTTCATCTTGACGGTACTTGTTATTAGTTTATTTTGAAGTGAAAACATCCTTATGCGCGTTTTGTACTTCGTCAGATTTCCAGAGCCGTCAGATTTCCGATGTGTAACACTCGGGTAAAGTCGGCTGGAGTCGACTAATTGAAGTGTTTTTTTTGCATATGGATTAAAATATCTCAAAAACTAAAAATCGGACCTGCATTTTGTTAGTGGGGGAAATGTTATCATTTCATGATGCCCTCTGTAATGAGCTTTTATTCAGAATGGTATCTTATCGCTACTCTGTATTAGGGAGGCGAAAAGGAAAAAGTGTTGAAAACCAAATGGTAACGAATTTTATTGAAGATATGGATATATAGATATAAATAAATATCGGACCTGCGTACTGTAAGCGTGGAAATTGTTAAGCATTTCGTCTTCTCTGTAATATCATATTCAAAATTAGATCTTCAAAAAATTTAATTAAAATATTGGAAATAGAAAGAAGAATAACAAAGCAATGAGATGACTCCGTTTAAAAAGAGATGACTCCTTTTAAAAAGACATTTTTCAGTTCTCAAATTACTGTCAGTACTCAATAATTTTTTATTCATTTATTCTTTAAAGGAAATATATAGTTATGAAGTGGCACACTGTTAATAAGCAAGTTTTATACAACTAAGATATTATCAGTACTTTTTCGCCATAAATTGAAGTTTACGGGATGGAAAACTTTCTGTATGGAACTACTATTTATGTAGTTCTCTTTGTTTTAATCATCTTAATATTTATTTTTTTACTAAACTCTACAGCTCAATAGAGATAAAATGAGAGTGATCAAAGAAGGAAATAAAATAAAGGATGAAGTTTTTTTAAAATGAGGAGCAGAAGAGAAAATTTGTGTAATTTCGGAAGAAAAATAAAAAAACATCTTATACATAATGAAATAATTACTACCACAGAGTAGTATTCTATAAACCTTACGTATATATGTTAAGCAAGTTTTTAGAAACAATGTTTTATAGGACTAATGTTTTGTTTTTTTAAGCGTTAAGAAATAATAATGTTTAAATGTTTGTAAAAATGTTTTAAATGTATAATAAAGGATTGTGAGATTAAAAAGGGTTTGATAAAAAATAATCATATATAGATTAAATATACTAATTATTAAAATATCTCTGTAAAAATCTGAATAACCAAAATAAGGTTGTTTATCATAAATCTATTTTTTTTATTTTTAGGAAATTAAAAAAATATAGATTATAATATAAGAATTGTATTTTTAAAAATGGATTATAAAATTGAATTAATCCTAGTTAGGTAAAAAAAAAGTTGGGCTGTTCTGCATGTCATTATTCTGTAAGAGAATTTAGGCTGGTGATATTACCATTCTATATAGTCAAGCCCTTTCTTAATTAAATTAAATTTAAATCTTTCTGCTAGTGTAGCTGACTTTTTATATTCCTATCATTATTCCTTTTTGCAAGTATTGAACATCAAACATCAAATACTAAAAATCACCACATTGATGCGGTTTATAACATGAATAAGCTTAATATCACAGTTTAAAACTATGAATATATAAAACAACTAAAAACTGATATTAGTAACTGTATTATTTTAAAAATGAAATAGATGAAAATGACTTATAGTTTACAAAAAAAAAAAAAATGAAATTAAAAATATTTTTTATTCGATAACTCAATACATTTTTTTTTCTATAACTATGGTAAAGACATAATCATACTTTCGGTTAGTATTTAGATCACATTTTTTTACAATAATCCGTTAAGTATTGTACATTAATATATAAGAATTATGACTTGTAGATCTTCAAAAGCACCTGCAATTAAGAAGCTAGACACCTGTACGGCTTTCCAGCGTGGCGGGCTTAGTATTTCAGTTCACCGCAGGGGTTTCTAAGATTAAAACCTTGTTAGGAAGGCGTGTACTAATCTCGGTAGAGGGAGTAGGTTTAATATTTCTGAGTTTATTTTATCGAACTTTATATTATAAACATTTAAAGATTTTGATTTTGAAATTTTTTAAATTATTTTAATCCTTGTACTTCAATTAATATGAATATTTAGTTAATTATTTATGGGGTTGGGAGACTCTCCGGTGGCACACCCGAACTCTTTAATGTGGGTACCTTTAATTAATAAATAGTTAATTAAGGGGAAAAACCTGGCGGTTGAACGTGATTTCAGTCAGATAACCTAAGAAACAATACTTTCCTTAAATATTACTGTACCCATGACCCTTCATGGATTGTAGTGGTACAGGTTGTTTTAATTTTTCATATTAGGATAAAAAATATTACGCATATTTATTAAAATAATGCAAATTGGCAAATGGTCTGTAAATAAAGTGCTCGATTAAAACAATTATATACCAAAATATTATCAACTATTAATCAGTTATCACTTTATTTAAATTATTAGCTATGACTAACGATGTGATTTAAGAACTATTTATAGCAAAAAGCTTCTAATAATTTAATGTTCATGTAAAAATGGAATATTTCCTAAAAAAATATTTGGCTAAATTTTGATGTGACTTATAGAGCAGCTCAATTTTATAGTTTTTTGATCCTTAACTTCGTAAGAAAAAAAAATAAATAGAATGTACAATGTATAAATAAATGAAATATTTTTTTTTGTTGTACTTGACTTACGTCTACTACTATTAATGCCACCCAATTCATTTTAACGTGCGCGAAAAAAAAATAAAAAAGGCTTATTTATTTATTTTGTATATATAGAGATTACATAAGTAATATTTGTTTTTAGAAGCCTAATTTTCGAAGTTTTGAATGAAGGTTGTGATACTTTAATTATTATTCTGGATATGTTATCTCCAAAAAAATGTAGGAATCTGCTTCTATCTATCTTTCCAAGTTTACGGTCTAATCTTTCGGTACACTTAATTTTTAAAAAGAGCATTTTTCTAATTTGCTATTACTTAGAATCCTTATACGAGACTGAAAAGCTCAACGTTTTCAGCTGATTCAACACTTATTAGACGAATGTTCTATGTTTATGAACTTCCAATTAACTATAAAAGGCTTATTTACATAATTATAAGAACATTTTGGACTTATGAAATAGAACTTTGCCCAATGCGTTGCGATCCAGTTGTTGAGTCAAAGCCTAGTATATCTTAAATGTGTATTATTATCTGTTTTTTGTAGCTTCCTTCCAGTTTCTTATACCAAGTACAGACCTAGGATCTGTAACCACAACGTTATTCCAGCGAAGCTTAAGACAATCAACTGTTGTTGCAGTTCAAAGTCTCCAATAATTTTTTTTGGGATTTCGTTTGGTTTCATTCTAGTTTCATGAATTAGAACGATCGCCTAACGAAGCTTTATAACTTTATGAAGGTGCATACTTTAGATACAGCATTTAATTATGTATTATTTCTCCTCCTACAGGTGCCTTGTTCAAAACCGCCACTGTATATTCTTTTGAGCACATTCCTCTTGAATCTGAAAACTTCTTTCTAGGATCTAGTCCAGTATTCTGAGCCATATGTGGACTGGTAGAATAATTATTTTATGAATTTTGATTTTAGCATCTCTTCCAAATGTTTTTGGAATTTCCAATGTCCAAAAATACATCTCCTTAACAGTTTTTAGAGAGCAAAATATAGAAGTATTCGCCTTTGTATTGCTTCTTCCATAATATATCCACTGTTTACTCCAGTTCTTGGACAGATGAAAGATAGAATTCTTCCAAATATACATTTCTAACACAACCTTTCCTTCTGTAATAAAATTTCAAAACATTGTTTCCTCTACGATCCCTCATAATCCTCATCTGAAATGTAGATGTCCTCTTGACCTTCTAGTGTAGTACTGATATTGGAGTGCTTCTAATGGTTCGTTTCTCTATAAGTGTTTGTTATGTCATCGTATCGTTGCTTAGATGTGGCTGATGCATTTTGTATGTTTGAATAACTAAATAAACAACCATCATGTTGGCATCTAACGTTAGGCTAGGTTTCGTAACGTTGCCTTGACCTAATTATTATAATGTTTGTGTTTAATAAAAAAAATGATTACCAAATGAGTTTATATGTTTTACCACAGACTATATAAATAAAGATGTAGGATTATATTTAGGCAGGCCTTGAACTAGAGGGAGCTTTAAGTATGCGGAAGGGGGCGGTATCGACCCGGGGCAGCGACCCCCGCACTGGGTCACCGCCCCCGCCGCCTCCAATCACTGACCCACCGCCTCCGCGAGATGAACCACCGCCCCCAGGTCCTATATAGGGTCTTAGACCAGGTACTGTTTCTAGACCCCTTCACGCACTTTGATCCGTATCAAGCACTCCCGTAGTTGGTTTCGTAGTGTAGATATAATCTAAACCCGACTCTATCTACCTCCTTATCATGTAGTTCGTTGTATATTCACTTTCATTTATCGTTTGCTAAATCCTCATAAAAAATTTAACACCGCCTAAGGTGTTTCTAACTTTGCAGGCGGTACAAAAACTTCGTTAGTAACGACCTTATTTTTATAATTTATATTATAAGACCTTTTTCGAAATGACCGAGTTAGCTGAGTCGGTATGACTGATTTCGCATAAGGTTTTGTTACATTTAAATTTGTATATATTTGTTAGATTTAGATTTCGGTTGTGTTATTTCGTTAGTAACGACCTTCTTTTTAAAATTTATCTTATTATACATTTTCGAAAATGGCCGAGTTAAACAAACTAGATGTACCAGTTTTTGAATTAGGCTGTGTTACATTTCGGTATCTCCAATGGTATTCTTATTATATTATAAATTATTTACGGTTATTTTCTAGGCAGAACAATACTATCAAAGGTTGGAAAAATTCGGCATGTTAAAACTTTTTAAATTGTGTTGTCAACGTTATATTGATGAGGAATTGTTTTTTTGTTTTTTTCATTTTGTCCCTATTTCCGGGTTCTGTAACTTTTTGGGATGAGTACCCTTTTTGACTTGAAAAATCTAATTAAGATAAATACTCATTTTCGTCAAAAACTGGGTTACTAGGTGGTGTTGAAATTCATATTATGAAATACAATTACACAACAATAAAGTTGAATGAATATTTAAATATTATTTTTAAATTAATGAGCTTTTAAAACGCAGTGATAAATCGATGCTAGGCGGAAAATACCGATATCATAGCGGATGTTGTAGATATTTCTAAGAACTTTGTTATTTGCTTTATTTTTTACTATTATTCACTACTTCTTATAAATTGCAACAGTTTGATGTTTTTAAATTCAATTATCCATGTTGATACCGTAAAATATTTTTTTCCAAAACGACTTTTTTTAGATTCTGGATAATCACAAATTAGGGTAAGCGCACCATTGATGGTCATAGCTAAGGAAGGTGTTTTCTTTTTTTGGCTTATGACGCCATAATAATTATTATAGTTATAAACTTCTCCGTTGGAAATTTACAATCTCTAGGGTCTCCTTTTTCTATTTAGCACTTTAAAATTGAAAAAATATTCCGTTATGCAGGTATAATCTCCATTTAAAAAAAAACTCTTTTTGCAACAGTAATGAACACCCCGAACTTCAATTGTTCTAGTCATGGACAGAGGTCGGTACCAGTAATTGACATACCTCAGAAACATTTTAAATGTTTATTTAACTATAAAGATAACGATAAACATTAATTACATAAATGTTTAACTTAGGAAAACTATTAGTAGGAGGGTATGAAACACACTGATCTCTTGAGCACTATATAAACATCAATGATAGGCATTTTAAAATTTTCTTTTGGAAACTTTGTTTATACAGTTGTCAATAGAAGGCGTAGAGGCCTTTATTCAACGAGAAATCTTATTATTTACATTTAAAGTCCAACCTGTCCATCACTGGCCCTCCTGTCCATAACTGGTGCGTTCACCCTACTCACTCTTTCAACGATTGTGCAAGGAGTGATCATTTACAGCCGAGACAAGCACTGAAAGTCTATACAACCGCCAGGTTCTTTTACTTAAGAAATTAATCATAAGAACCCCGTTTATAGAGGCTAGAGGCTGAGTATGCCCCAGAAGGGTTCTCCGACTCCAGGAACGATCCAAGACTGATGTATTGAATTAAAATATTACCTGTAAAACTAGATTTGAACCCATAACCGGGAGAACAGAAGTGCCTTACTTACTGAATTATATCGCTCCCTGCTACAAGATATAAAATAACTTAATTATTAAAAGGACAATTTCGTAACGATTTACGAAGTCCTACCTTAAGATTGGAACTAAATTAATTTTGTTCCTTACATTACAATCAGTGTGGTTTTCCCCAATATAAGGTTGGTTTAAGCTATTCATCCGGTCTTTAGGCGTCATTTAGTTCAGATAGCTGAAAGAAGGCACGATGTTCGTGCTACTTGGTTCGTTCTGGAAAGGAAGAGAATACAGGAGTTAAATAAAGGAAGGATAATAACCGAAGAGCCCCCTCGGCCTGAGCCATAGGCTGGCTGCGGAATCTTAATTTATACCCGTGCGGATTAGGGATGCATTGTGTAATGGTGTTATTAGTCTGCTTGAGGTTTTGTAAATATGGCTGAGGAGGATATCGTGAGCCTTCCAAGGTTATCTCTTTCTGAACCTTTCGCATCCACTCTTCAAGCACTTTCTTCATACATGTTGTAATGTTTTCCACAGTTCCTGGTAGGCGCGAAGGTGAAGATAGTTCCCATAAACCGGATGGTTAACTTCATTTTAGTAAATGTATATAACATTTTTTTATACCCTAAGATCTTCGTTACGTTGTTATATAAGTAAATTTCCCAAACAGTTACTTATTGTATTATATATTGTAATTTATATTTAGTGATCAGTATGGTACCACATATAACATTTACACTTCGACGAAACACATGCCCACCAGTTTGTATCGGCGACAACCGAATTCCCCAGACGGACACTGTACGTTATCTCGGGTTAATATTTGACAGAAGGATGACCTGGGGCCCACATGTCAAAATGAAACGTAAGACTTTGAACAAGCGACTGAAAATACTGTACTCACTTTTTTCCTAATCAAAATTGAAGATAAGACAAAAACTTAATACATTACACTTACCTACTCAAACCCATATGGACATATGCCTCAGAAATTTACGGTTCTGCAAAAAAGAGTGAACCCTGGATAGAATGTTGGAGAAGATGGATAGAATTTGGAAGGATACAATATGAAAGGAGAGTTTAGAAAATTTATAGGTTAAGGGGGTCCATCGTTAATAAAAAAAAAAATAATAATAATCTTTAATATTGGTCAAAATCCTCTTTTTATATATTTTTTAATACATTAGGTCTTGTGTAACTTCTCCGTTACAAGTTTCTAGTGGCCTAAGTTTTTAGTGTGCTTTTTTATTCGAAACCATTCTTTAATTACTATATAACTTTCCTTTCCGAGTCTCGTATGATTTTCTGAACTTCTTAATTAGACTACACTTAATACTGATACAATAATAAATACGTAATAAAAAGTTTTAAAATTTCTTCAATCCGATATCGAATCTATTATAGTAATATGATATTTAATTAGGTTTGAGTGTTAAAATTTACTCTGTATTTGTCGTACGATCGATACCATTATTATCTGATCTCCGACGAACTGTAATAATAGAGATTATTAAATATATTGATATGGAAAAGTCTTGGTGAATCTATGAATGCTAAGCAAGATTTTATTATTTTTTTTTAACAAATTTCTTTGTAAAGCGTAAATAAATGTAAGCGTTTTATCTATTCCCTGCATCCAGGAAAATTATTTATTAAATTTATTTTTAAAAAAGTGTATCTAACATGAGAGCTGTTATGTGGGTTAAATAGTCACGAAATTTTATGATTTAGGCCTCCTGCGTGTCAACATTAAAAGCCTGTATTTATTCTTTGTAATCGACAAATCGATCGTGGAATAAATTTAGATAGGACACAAAAAAGTTCACGTTCACGTGAGATTGAGGATTTACATTTCTTTTACATAGAAATGGTGATATTTTTGTAATTTATTATTCTTCACTGTTACAAATTATAAATATAAATGCAAATACTCCATGTATTTTTGTTAATATATGACAAATCATTATAGATAAACTGTTACAAATTGAAAATAAAAATACAAATATTTGATTTAATTCATTAATGTGTGTCACATTATTATAGAATTAGTATCAATGTTAGGATTACGTTAGTCCGGTATTAACTTTATATGATTTATTTATGTTTGAATCTTAAGGATTGTTCAAATTGTAATGTTTATATGTTAATTTAATATATTTCTACTAACATAAATATATTTTTATTTAAGCTTATAAACTACTTTACTATTCGGAATAACCATTACCTATTCCTAAATAAATAAATTACTAATATTACCATTTATTTATTTCGCCTCTATCCCGCCTATATCAATTAAACACTTTATACACTGTTGTAGAATTCTGTTAATTTCAAGTAGTTTAGCTTTGCATTCAACAGTGCTAGCAATACATCGGTGAAGTACATGCTTTACTATCCGTCCTTGTGACAGTAAATGTTCTTGTGATTTCTACTACATTAGATAGATAGATAGATAGACAACAACTTTATTCTGAGTCCCTTGAGAATAACAACATTGTACAAAAAGAAAAGACTAATTCAGGCCTTAAGACTTAAAACTATGAGCAAAACATTTACAACTATATACAAAGCTAAAACAATATAAATATACCCCTCAAAGAAAGAAAAAATAACTAAATAAATTAAATTCTTATCACCAATAAACTCTGAGTTTCTACTGAGAAAAAAGAAAGCTGCGTCTATCAATATAAAATATCTAATTATGCACATGCTGGATTGTATGCAAATACATCATAAGAAGAGTATAATCATTTATTATGCTAAATACAATAATTGTATATATATATATATATATGTATATATATATTTTTTTTTTTCATAGCCCCTTTATATTTATTTTTTCTTGAATCCTTAGGATTTTCGTAGTCTTCATAATAGTCCTTTTACTGCTTAAAAGCATTGTAAGGTTTATTTTTTTTGTCTTTTCTGAGTATTTTGTTCTTCATCTATAATATAAAGGTGAAGGGGCTCACATCAGGCTTGAGTTGGCCTATCCTCTTGAGCTTACAACTAAATTAATAAAACATCTATCTCATATGAATTGTTGCCAACGTTTTGGAATTTGGCTGGTAATAAGTTGTTGAAAAGAGGGTTTGCCTATTGTTGGGATTTTTCGAAAAATGATTTTTTTCGTTTTGCGAGAAAT